ACACCTCCGCTAAAATGAAAGCACAATTAGCAAGTAAAAATCAACAGTAGTTGAAATGCATGAAAGAAATACAATCACTGCATACCATAAAAGATTTACATGCCAATAAAACATCATAAACATCAAACCATTTCAGTCTTTACTCATTAATCAGGGCAACTCATTTCAAAAACTTTGAAACAACTTAAATTGTACAGCTCAATAAATACCCTCCTTTGTGTTTCGGTTGCAGGAGATTGGCTACCATAGGCTAACCCAGGTTAGAGAAATGGGAGGACTTCCCACCCACACACACACAAACACAACCTGCTAAATTAAGGGCTGGGTTTTGTAGAAGCACCAGCCAGGGACGTTTTTATGCAGAAGGAGCCTTGGGTGAGCACGTCCTGTTTCTCAGCTTGGGCATATATGTCGGGACCCTTGAGTCCTTGAACCAAGGAGATCTGTCAGACAGACCCTGATCTGTCACATGTACGGATGTGTCCATTGGGATCAACCCAGTTGTGAAATGTTGAAAAGATGAAGAGAGAAGAGCAACTGTAACCCAGCCTTTTTTTACCATGGCTGTTCAGTGGGACATTGGACTGGATCCCTGATCCCTTGTCCTGGATCACAGACTCACAGTTCATAGCTTTATGGTGGGGCTCAGTGGGTGCGGATCAGTTCAACTATCTCTGAAGCGTCTTCTGGGAAACTTCCATGATGGAGAGCCCACCATGTTCAGAGGGAGAGTCTTCTACTGTTGGACAGACAAAGAGCCGAGGTGGCGCAGCAGTTAGAGTGCAGTACTGCAGGCCACTTTAGCTGACTGTGTTCAGCAGGTCAGCGGTTCAAATCTCACCGGCTCAAGGTTGACTCAGCCTTCCATCCTTCCGGGGTAGGTAAAATGAGGACCCAGATTGTGGGGGGCAATGTAAATATATACCTACATTGCTTACTGGTGTACACCGCTTAGAGAGTGCTTGCACTTAAAGCAGTATATAAGTCTCATAAATAAATACATAAATAAATCCCCAGTGCAGATTGCCTCACACAGGAGCCAGCACTCTCCAATCAACTACAAGATGCCAATGTTTCTTTTAACTAAGACAGTTGTTCTCCGTGAATAACAGGAGATCTATTAGAGTATTACTTATGAATATGTGTGCATCCATCATTTCCCTCTCTGTTTTTGGAAATGGATAAACAGGAGTGCCTCTCTTTGCCTCAGGGATGTGTCCCCTCACTATTCTCTTGGAAGGGACCTTCTCCAGTCTCTAAACTGTCACGGAATTTTGGCAGCAGGTGTCCAAATCAAGTCAGAGACGCTGACTTGTAGTTTTATACGAGCATCATGAGGTAAATCACACAGCACACAGAAGAAAAAAGGCGGGAAAAAGGGAAACTCTCCCTTTACATCCACAGCAACCAATCACAGTGCAAATTGCCTCACACAGAAGCCAGCACTCTCCAACCAATCAACTACAAGATGCAAATGTATCTTTTGACTAAGACAGTTGTTCTCCCTTGACAACAGAAGAATAGGAAGTTGCCTGAGATCTATTAGATTATTACTTATGAACAGTGCTTTTTTTCTAAAAAAAAAAAAAAAAAAAAGTGCCGGAACTCATACATGTCATACAACCCACCTTGCCTACCCTACAAGGTTCCATCCAAAAAAAATGCCAGAACTCCGTTCTGGGCGTTCTATGAGAAAAAACGACCTGCTTATGAATATGTGGGTGTCGATCATTTTCCTCTCCTTTTTGGGGGGGGGGGGAATGTATAAACACGAGTGCCTCTCTTTGCCTCAGGGATGTGTCCCACCACTATTATTTTGGAAGGGACCCTCTCCAATCTCTAAACTGTCAGGGAATTGCACTGCAGGGGTCCAAATCAAGTCAGAGATGCTGACACAAACTTGTAGTTTTATATAAATACATATATTTAACAATTATACTTTCAGCGGAGAAAATAGTCAGGCAAACAGGAGTTTCGTGAGGTAAATCATCATAGCAGGAACATCCTGAGGTAAATCTCAGAGCATACAGGGCAGGAAAAAGGGAACCTCCCTCTCCACACCCACAGCAACCAATCACAGCACAGATTGCCTCTCTCTCACACACACACACAAAAACACATACACACAGCCCAGATTGCCAGCACTCTCCAACCAATCAACTACAACTGTGTTGTTCTGGCCCATTGTATACTTTACTGCTCCAGCTATTAAATTTAATATCCTAACAAAGGTGCAGAAAGCCACAAGGGCTTCCCCCAAAGTTTCCTGAGAGATGACAGATTTATTGCACATTTCCAGTAAGTGCAGCTCAAACACAATAATAAAATCAACAATAATTTAAACCACATGAAAGCAATACAATCACTGCATGCCATGAGATATTTACAGTGCATGTATAGACATGTAATGCAATGTAGACATTATAAACACCAAATAGTTTCAGTTTTTACATGTTGACTAGTGCAACAAAAGCTTTTAAAAGCTTCAGAGTAGATTAATTGAAGGGTTTAATAAAGCCCCACTCTTGTGTTTTGGTTGCAGGCATTTTGCTGGGTTCCTACAACATGCTAAGACCTTAACTGAGGTTTCAACTGTATGTATGGGTTCCCACAATATGTTAAGACCACAATCCAGGTTAAGAAAATGGATTTTCTGCTCTTAAAGAAAGGGTGGAGGGATTGTGTAAGGACCTGCCTCACCTAGGTCTCCCAAGAAAGCAGAACTCTTGAAACAGGCAAAAGGAGCTTTTATTGGGAGTTAGTGATAGCAAGGAAACAAAGCAAGGTCTGAGGAAATAGCCTGCGCAAGCACTATATCAAAAGCTGTATTCGTTACTCCTCCCCCCAGGGTCTCACTGTTTGTTTGAATCTCGGCCAATCCACAGGTGGTATATTGTTTTAGTAACTGGCTCCTTTGCCATGCTCTTCAAGATCTCTCTCAGTTTTGTTTCTTCCAGCTCCAAGCTCAAACTCTCTTCCAGATAGGGGTGATGGTATTTGACACATTCCTTCCCCCGAGGGAAGGGCAATGTGGCATAAGCATATTGTATATCCTCACATTGGAATCCCCCCTCCCAACAGAATGGCAGGCCCCAAAAGTGGTTATAGAACTATGTATAGGTTAGCAGAAATAGTAATACATTTCTTTGGGGTTCTGACAGATTGTCCACACAATTTCCTAAACTGATAGCTGGGTTTGAAGAAACGTTGAACCACAAACCGCCCAACTAACTATAGATTTAATCTGTGAACTGCTAGGGAGGGTCCGACTTGCTCTCTTTCTGCCTATCAGACATTCCAGGATCCGCTTTCTCTTTGCCATCTGGGAAAGAGTCCCTCCATCCTGTGATTCTAGACTGTGCATTTCCCCACAATCCACCACACAAGCTCTCCACTCTCCTTCTTCCTTTCCTCCTTTGCTCATTTTGATTTGTGCCTTCTTCACACCCTCTCCAGCAGGGTTAAAAAGGTCTACATGGCAACCACGGTCACATAACCATAGAATCGCTTTGTTGGTTAACTTTTCAAATATTTGTCTTCTTAAGTACTTAAGAAGCATATTTGCTTCCTATCAAGCACGAGCTTGAAGTGGAGTTTCTTCCTTGGGTGAGCTCATCTGGTTTCTCAACCTGGGCAGATACACTTTGGCCCAGGAGGACCTCACAGCCAGGGGCTGATTTGTCATATGCGTGAATATGTTCCTCAGGGTCAACCCAGTTGTGAAATGTTCTCCAGGCGAGTGACGAAGAACAATAGCAATCCAGACATTCAGTGGGACCTCACCTGGAATCGCAGGCTCAGAAGCTCAGTGCATTATGGAATTGGTGGGAACCGGGAAAGAAGTTCTTCTGTTCATATGCTATGATGGCTCCACCTTTCACAGTAATGTCGTGGATAAAGGAGCTTTATTGCAGATTCACTTGGTTTTCAGCAGCAACAGGCTGAAAGCTGGAGTCTCAAAGTTCTGATGGAGGAGTGGTTGGAGCAAGTGAAGGACTGCAAACTGGCACCAGCACTTAACACCAACCTGCCTTCCCAGACTGGCCCGCCTCTTGTCACCCACTTCATCTCCCTAGACCTGTCACCCCTGTGATGTCCCTGCCTGTCCTTTCTCCCCCAGCAATACCCTTCATTGCTGACCCTTCTCTTCCCATCCCTGGGTGTATCACACCCTACCTCAGAACCAGCCCCCAAAGCAGCTGGCACTAATACCCGTCTAGCACTCTGCTCTGAGTCTACCAAGCTAGATCACTCATCTTCCCTCTCTGTCCCCCAGCCCACGTGCTGCCCATAGAGAAGAGAAGAGGGAAGACATTCTTTGCACCCCTCAACCACAAATGGTGGCCAGTTGGGAAAATAGGCTTAATAAGATTCCAGGGACTATGACAGGCAAAGCAAGTGCGCCCTAAGAAGTAGATGGGATTGCATCCAACTGTAAATATCAGGAGTAGTAGGAGGAGGAGGAGGAGGGGGGAGGGGGAGGGGGAGAAGGAGAAGGAAAAGGAGGAGGAGGAGGAGGAAAAGGAGAAGAAGGAAGAGGAGGAGAAGGAGACAGAGAAGGAGGAGGAGGGGGAGAAGGAGAAGGAGAAGGAGGAGGAGGAGGGGAGAAGGAGGAGAAGGAGAAGGAAAAGGAGGAGGAGGAGGAGGAGAAGGAGAAGGAGAAGGAAGAGGAAGAGAAGGAGACAGAGAAGGAGGAGGAGGAGGGGGGGGAGAAGGAGAAGGATCTAGCAGAATAGGATCCCACTTGCAAAGAGAAGAGGGTCTGGGTGAGCTGCATACAAATGTATTGGCCTTTCTTGAATTATTATTTATTGATTTGATTTGATTTGATTTTGGTGTTGCCTGACTCTATGGTAACCCTGGACAGTATAAAAGAGGATTAAAGACACAATAAGGGGAGGGAGGGAGGGAGGGAGGGAGGGAGGGAAGGAGGGAAGGAGGGAGGGAGGGAAGGAGGGAGGGAGGGGAGATTTTACCTGCTTTCTGGATAGTGACACCTTCTTTTGAATCACCTCATCTTGCCCTGTAGGGTGTGACCACACAAGCCCTGGTATATAAGCTGGAAAAGAGACCACGGGTGTCTCAAAGGATTTCTCCTTCAGATTGGATCCCCCTTTGAAGGTGAGAGCCACAGATCGTAGAAAGATTAATGTAACTTTAGAGAGAGAGAGAGAGATTCCAACCTATTTGTACATAGAACTGCTGTGAAGGAAGCTACTTCTTAGCGTTTCTTTTTTTTCTATTCTTTTCTTTAACTTTTTTCTTTTTTCCACTTTTGGGTTTTTCGTTTTTCTTCCTTGCTTTATATTTGTTTGTGTTAGTTTTCAACGTTCTTGTTTGAACGTTTTAATGAAAACCACATGCAATCTCTTCAGGGGTACCACAGCTCCCACCGCCACGTACGTATCTTGCTCTGATCAAAACGGATTTCAACCAAATCAGGAAATATCCTGACACAGCAGCATCCTCCCCCTTTTTAAAAAAATTTGCCTGGAGTTAGAAATGCTTTGACCTCTTCTGCAGGAATCCCAGGACAAAAAGGCATAAGATACATTTTATTTGACTGACGAGGCATCGTAGCATCCGTGTCATAAAGCAACTGAAAGTCCTGTATCTCTTATAAGAGATTGATGGTTTGCATTTTATCTGTTTATGATCTTTTTTTTTTTTTTCATTTTTGGCAGCCAAGGTGATTCACAGCATTAAAAGTGGGGTGGGGCAGATTGCTTTTCTTCGCCATAGAAGAGACAGCAAAGAGAAAAAGCAAAACAGGAGCCTTAAACAAATTAGCCTCTTCCATTTAGGCCAGTGGTTCTCAACCTTTTTAATGCCACGACCCCCAACCGGTCGTAAGTCGAGGACTACTCAACCGGTCGTAAGTCGAGAGCTACTCAACTGGTGCAGCACCGTTTGCAGAATGGGACTTTTGGCGGGTTCCGCAGGGCAGAGACAGCCTGGACAATCCCTATTGGCTTTGGAAAGCCAATAGAATTAGACTCTGTTCAAGAGAGTCTCTTCTATTGGCTTTCAAAAGCCAATAGAATAAAAGGGAGTAGCACAGCTAAGGAAAAGGGGGGAAAAAATGGCGGACTGCGTTGTTTGGCGACCCCCGTGAAATGGTCGTTCAACCCCCAAATGGGGTCCCGACCCACAGGTGGAGAACCACAGATTTAGGCATTGCGTTCATTGGGGCTGAGGATTAGCTAAGGGTCTCCTTTCCAAATTCTTCTATGAATAACAGAATAACAGAGTTGGAAGCGACCTTGGAGGTCTTCTAGTCCAACCCCCTGCTCAGGCAGGAGACCCTGGCCCATACCATTCCAGACAGACAGATAGTTATCCAATTTCTTCTTCAAAACTTCCAGTGATGGAGCACCCGCAATCTCTGGAGGCAAGCCGCTCCACTGATTGATTGTTCTCACTGTCAGGAAGTTTCTCCTTAGTTCCAGGTTGCTTCTCTCCTTGATGAGTTTCCACCCGTTGCTTCTTGTCCTGCCTTCTGGTGCTTTGGAGAATAGCTTGACTCCCTCTTCTTTGGGGCAGCCCCTAAGATACTGGAAGACTGCTATCATGTCACCCCCTAGTCCAGGGGTAGGCAACCTCGGCTCTTTTATGACTCATGGACTTCAACTCCCAGAATTCCTGAGCCATTAGGCTCAGGAATTCTGGGAGTTGAAGTCCATGAGTCATAAAAGAGTTGAGGTTGCCTACCCCTGCCCTAGTCCTTCTGTTCATTAAACAAGACATATCCAATTCCTTAACAACTGTTCTTCGTATGTTTTAGCCTCCAGTTCCCTAATTATCTTTGTTGCTCTTCTCTTCACTCTTTCTAGAGTTTCAGCATCTTTTTTTTCTATCGTGGTGACCAAAACTGGATGCCATATTCCAAGTATGGTCTTACAGACATAGATTTGAGAGTGATGAAAAAGTAACTTTATGCCAAATCCTAACATCTTTTTTCTAGCGTGGTGACCAAAACTGGATGCCATATTCCAAGTGTGGTGTTACCAAGGCCTTATAAAGTGGCACCTAATGATGTCAAGTCAGACAAACACATGCAGAATCAACATTTTGAGAATTACAGGCTGTGATTCCTGGCAAACTGGGGTCTCTACCAATCGCTCAGGGTAGTAATGGGGAGGGGAGGGGGCTGCAATCCAGAGATGTACAGGCAGCGTTCACGGTTGAGACGAGTGCTCGATTCTTCCTTCTGCGGTGGGACATCCAAAAGGGGGTGCTCTGGTTTGGATGGAGGACCTTCAGGGTTCTTCTCAACTTCTGCTTCTCTCCTCAGGTCTGGAGATGTTTCTCATCACTTGCTTCATCTTTTGTCTCTTGGGCAGCCTTACCTGGGCAGGTAAGTTGTTGCCAGCACTTCAAAGTCCATACATCCCACCTCCATCCTGTTTCCCTGTGGGTCTCCATTTATCTAGAGTTGGCTAATTTTAAAGCTTTATTCTTAATGAGAGAGCCTTTATTTCTAACTATGATCCATTTACACCAATCCAGAAAGGCATAGAGTTCCAGAAGGCCTCCGTTTCTGACTATATGGATTATATCATACCAAATACTGGTATGTACAGGATGAGGCTGGCATCTCTCCACTAAACAGGACCTGGGCATTTTACACCCCCTGGGCCAGATCTGGCTCTTTGGATCTCTCTGCCTGGCCCATATGAGGTCAATCGGAAATTAGAAATCAAATATAAATAAATGTATGTCATGCATGCAATAGAACTGCATTGTATTATCTTGAAGGCAACTTTTTATTTTCAATTTACATATGTGCGTGCATGCTTGCCTATGGACCTTCACAACCCTGTTAGTTTGTCCCTCCACAACAGTCCTAGTTTCTCATGTAGCCCCATGGGAAAATTAATTGCCCACTAAAATGAGATGGTATAGATCGGGGTAGGCAACCTTGGCTCTTTTATGACTCATGGACTTCAACTCCCAGAATTCCTGAGTCAGCTATGCTGATTCAGGAACTCTGGGTGTTGAAGTCCATGAGTCATAAAAGAGCCGAGGTTGCCTACCCCTGGTATAGGAGGCTGGACTAGAAGACCTCCAGGGTCCCTTCCAGCTCTATTCTATTCTATTCTATTCTATTCTATTCTATTCTATTCTACTCTACTTTACTCTACTCTACTCTACTCTACTCTACTCTACTCTACTCTACTCCATTCCATTCCATTCCTTCCATTTCCATTCCATATTTTCTATTCTATTCTATTCTATTCTATTCTATTCTATTCTATTCTATTCTATTCTATTCTATTCTATTCTATTCTATTCTACTCTACTCTACTCTACTCTACTCTACTCTACTCTACTCTACTCTACCCTACTCTACTCTACTCTACTCTACTCTATTCTTATTCTTCTAAAACTCAAGACCCATGCTGCGTCCCTCACTTCCGGCTTTGTTCTCTTTGCTTTCTCATTCTGTTTTTCTATTTTTATTTTGAGTTTTTAATTTTGGATTCATGGATTTTATTGTTTCCTCAAAGCATAACATACAAACAAAAATAAAAATAGGAAAATTAGGGGAAGGAAAAAGAGAGGGGGAAAGAAAATATGGGGTACAAGGGAAAAAAGCAAAAAAGTGTTGACTTCCAACTCTTTTTAACACAGTACAAGATAGCAACATGACAGCGTCAACTCTTTACTTTTACACATTAGTATATAACCAGCCATTTCTATAACAAATTGATTTAATTGGCAAAACCAAAGTCAAAGTTTCATTTTTTTTCATCTCAAGCACAAAATCCAGAAGTGATGCCCAAATAAAAAACATAATTAAATATATTCTCCTCTTAAGCAATCAATTTAACCATTTCTGCTTTATCTTCCTTGCTGTGGAAATAATATATATTTCTGTTTGCATTTAATAATCTTTATAAACTATCTCTATTTATATTAACAAAATTCACTGTATTCTTTCAAATTCTTTAACCTTAAAGGGAAAAAATACTTTTTTAAAATCCATTTTAAAACTCTGAACTTCTCTTTAAGCTAATACCTCTTTTTCTTTAACTTTCTCTTAACATAGATACTTTCAAATACACTTTCAATAATATTACATAAGCTTTAGGAATTACTTAAGTATTATATATAAAGGGAAAATGCATTTTCAAACCCATTTTGCATTAAGACTTTCTTTGAATTACAAATTTCAAACTGATAAAAATCCACCTTAATTTCAATTGACTCATTGAGTTTAAGTGTCACTCCTTCCAACTTATCTTCATGGAAGAAAATCTTTTTCTTTTCTGGAATGCTTATTGAGGAATTACATATTTCTCTTTTGCTCAAGGATTTCTCTACCTTGTTGGTGTCCATGAGGAAAAAATCCATTTTTATTCTGTTTTCTCAGCAGGTCCAAGTCATCGGACTGTCTGTCCTTCCGGCACCTTTGCCTATAAAGACAGAAACCAGTGGTATTGCTACAAGTTCTATGAAGATCGGCTCACCTTTTATGAGGCTGAGGTAAGCGCCCTGAGGTAACTCCCCTGAGGTAACTCCCCTGAGCAGGAAAAATTCCCTTAAGCTGGCCCAGAGTTTTATAATGCCAAAAAGTTCGTCTCATTTTTTTAAATGAAGAGCACCTGCTGCATGACTCTCCCTTAGAAAAAAGATAGAAGCCTAAAATAAAGAATAAAATAAAATACTTTAGTAATTCTCTAGAATTTCCTTCAGTTTAGTACTTTGATAATAAATCTGAACGGGATTCATGAGCTGGTTTCACTTCAATGTCTGAGTGAAATTTGTTAATCACAGTTAGGACAGTGATGAAAAGATATCTTTATGGCCAATCCTCACACTTATGACAGTTGCAATTGATTTAGTAACCACTTCACTGAATTACTGAGTTGCTGGTTCCAGCTGTGGTTGTTAAATGAGGACTGCTGTATCTTCAAAGGTTCAAGCCATGCTGTTTCAAAGTGGGCCCTTGTCTCTCAGGGTGTCTCTTTATTTCCACAAACAAGCACACACCTCCTTCCCTCTTCTCTCTCCCTCCCAAACCTTGTTTGGATGTCCCACTTTTTTGTGTGTGTCCCACTTCTGACACCACTTTCACACCTCGCTCCGAAGCCCGAGAGCCATTTTCCCCAATGTATTTTGTCTTTATTTTTCCTTGTTGGTCAAGAAAGTCATGCTCGCACCTGCAGCCCCTCTTAGGAGAATTTCAGTGACAGGAACCTAGTTGGGACGACCTTGTCTGCCCAGACTGCAAGAACACACACACCCGGGTTGGTAGGCCTGGGTCATAGCAGATCTGCAATAGACAACCTGATTTGTGGGTACTAAGGTATTTTTGGTACTTCTCTCTTTGCAGACAGAGTGTCAGTTCAGATGGAGAGGCCATTTAGCATCTCTGACAAAAGACAAGCAGGTCAAAAGCATCGGTGCCTATGTCACTAAAGAAAACTTGAGGGGTGATTTCGTCTGGATTGGACTTCAACTCATTCGAGATGAAGAGTCCAATGTGGTGAGTCCTTGGCTCTCCTGGCTGTGAGCCACCAGCAGCTGTTTCCGTACAGCTGTTTCCTGAGTAGTGATTTACACCATCCTTGAATAGGCCAGCCACCTTGTTCCATCTCTCTCCCCTGATGCTGGTCTTGTCTCACGTTAATGGGTTAGATCAGTGGTTCTCAACCTGTGGGTCGGGACCCCATTTGGGGTCGAATGACCATTTCATGGGGTCACCAAACAATGCAGTCTGCCATTTTTTTCCCTTTTCCTTAGCTGTGCTACTCCCTTTTATTCTATTGGCTTTTGAAAGCCAATAGAATAGACTCTCTTGAATAGAGTCTAATTCTATTGGCTTTCAAAAGCCAATAGGAATTGTCCAGGCTGTCTCTGCCCTGCTGAGCCCACCAAAAGTCCCATTCTGCAAACGGTGTTGTACCAGTTGAATAGTCCTCGACTTACGACCGGTTGAGTAGTCCTCGACTTATGACCAGTTGGGGGTCACGGCATTAAAAAGGTTGAGAACCACTGGGTTAGACAGACTGTGTGGTGTTGTATCTAAGCACCATCCCATTGCTGCTCCTGACACAAGGAGACACAGGGACAAAGGATCCCACTTAACAAATTTCTCACTTAGCAACAGAAAGTTTTGGCCCCATTGCGGTCGTAAAATGAGGACTACCTGTGTTTTAACCTGGATTCCCGCACTGAGCAGGCCGCTGGACTCAAAGGCTCAGGGACCATTGTACCCCGAGGAACCTTGGATTCTGTGCATCGCAGTCGCAATTGCCCTTACACACTTATATGCCACTTTATGCATCCAAAGGACCTAACTGGGTCTCTGCCTTGGACAATCGAAAGAATGACTTAGGGCAGGGGTAGGCAACCTTGGCTCTTTTATGATTGGTGGACTTCAACTGCCAGAATTCCTGAGTCAGCATGGCTGGTTCAGGAATTCTGGGTATTGAAGTCCATCAGTCATAAAAGAGCCAAGGTTGCCTACGCCGGCTTAGGGTAACGTCCGTGTGGTGCTTGCTTGCAAAAAAAAGCCTAATTAGCAGGACTTTCCCCCTTTAAATTAATTTAGCTGAAATTTAGAATTGGAATTTAATTTTTTGTATCTCTGCCCCCCCTCCCCGTGTTTCCCATTCACTCACCTCAACGTGCTTTATTCTGCATTGCACAGAAAATGGAATGGAGCTGGACTGATGAGACACTATCCAACTATACAAGGTGGAGCTTTGGTGAACCCGACACTACGTCTTACAGTGACACTTGTGTTGGTCTCTCTCCTGCAACTGGTCAGTAAGAGAATCCATCGTTCCTTAATGTGGCTGGAGTTTGCGTCTGTAATTCCAGGAAAGCAGGGAAGGGGGGGGGGGAATATGGGGAAGGGATGGGAAGAGAAGATGGGGAAGAGAAGGGAAGACAGGAAGGGGAGGGAAGGGGAGGGGAGGGAAGATGGGGAGGGAAGATGGGGAAGGGAAGATGGGGAAGGGAAGGAAATACAGGAAGGGTTAGGCCACAAACACAGATTAGCTTTTTCCAGGTTTTGCCAAGTCCTATGTGAAAGTCATAGCTATCATAGTTTTCATCCACCACTAGGTGTCAGCATCTATTTGTTTTTCAATTTCCAAAATGAACAATTGTCTTTCGAATTTTAGATTTGTCCAAATTTAAGTTTAAATTTTCAGGTTTTATATTTATTTCATTTCCATATATTTTGATCCTCCATGAAAAGTTTAATTTGCCGCTTCCGTTAGTATGAGGGTAGGGCGGAAATCCCTCTCCTTCCCTTTCGGAGGTATTTTGCTTCTTGGGGAATCTTTTCCAAGAAATGAAATCTAGAATAGAAAAGAGAAGATCAAATTCCTCACCCAGTTTCAAGTACACTATTCACAGTTGGGCTGGTTAGTACTTTTGGATTTCGGTTGCAAGTAACTTGGGCTGGTCGGTGAAGTATGGCCAGCCTTTCTCCTGTTGGGTTAGAAGGCTTCCCCCAAGTCAAACAGAATGACCACCACCATTCCAGAATTGCCAGAGCACCCTTCTTTCTTTGTTGCCTCTCTGGGGCAACTTAGACCCATTTAGGATCCCCTGGCAGGGTGAAAATTAGCCACAGGGGTGCGGAGATCCACAAGCCCACAACCAATCGCTACCATGCAAGACTGGAAGTCTTTCTTTCTGCTATTTCTCATTCTCTGTCAAACAAGAGAGCTTTGTCAATGCCTGATTTTATTTCAAACATTTATATTTACCCAGCCATTCCCAGGATCCCCCAAGCAGAGACCCAAATGCTTGAGGAAGACCCCTGTCTTAACTCCCTTGATGAAAGAGCTGAGTCTGCTCTAGGTCAGCGGGAAGATTGTTCTAGAGCAGGGAGGCAGCCATGGAAAAGGGGCCCTTTCTAGATCCCACCAGAAGGCAAGGCTTAGATGAGGGGAGGTGCAGCAAGCACCCCACTTGTGGGAGAGGAGCTGGAAGGCGGAGTTAAAGATGTCATCTGTTTGAAGTCTTTGTGTCACCATGAGAGGTCTAAGTCCATTCCCCCTGAATTCTCTTGGCCCTTATCTAGTGCCCATTTAGCTTTGACCGTTACTTGACTAGATTCTTGTGTGTGGAAGCTGTTTGCACTTGACACCACTCATGAGCGGACGTACTTGAGAGCAGATGTACTTGAGAGCAGATGGTCTGCAAGTAGCCCAATCCTGTGCCGTATTGGGCTCTAAAGTTGATCACCACCCATGTTCCTTTCTTTCAGGGCACGAGAAATGGGTTGATATAGACTGTAACCGCAAATTTCCTTTCCTCTGCAAATGGAAACCCTCTTAAGCCACGTCTGAAGATGGAGTTGGGGGGCTCCCCACTGAACGGAAACCTGAGCTGAGATCTTTCGGTTCCATCTTCTCTATGTGCAAAAACGTGTTTGCCAGAAAGACCAGCTGAACGTCAAGCAGTTGGTTCCTCTCTGTCCTCTGAACTTGCTTCTCTCCCCCTCTTTCTGAAGAATGTGCCCCTCCCTTGATAATAAACTGTGTTGCTCTGCCCTTGTCTTGAGTTTGGCGTTTCTCTCCCAGGGGGACCAGGGCCCCTCCCTGAATACCTCTCAGAGGGAAGAGGGTGTTGTGTGTTGTGCAGTTGACTTTCTGGTCACAAAGACGACATGCCACCTTATCCTTTCCTGGCATCCTTCTCTCCCACCTTTTCTCTCTGAGGGAAATACGAGATTAATGAGAGGAGAAACATGGATTTGTGGAAATAATGTTCCCCTGGAGTGGAAAAAGGTCCATGCAGGGTGGGTAGCTGGAGGATCGCTGAAGCAAACCAGACCAAAAACATTAGATTGTCCAGAGGCTTTCATAATTAGCTGTCATTTCAGCAAGTTGGTGCATTCTACATGCTTTGTTTAGTAATATTTGAGCAATAATTGCGAGCCTGTGGTTTTGCTCCCTCCCGCATGCATTGTGCCTAAAGCACAACGGGAGTTACACAAAGCAAGCAGTGCCTCTGGCCTTGTGCTTTTTTGAGGCTGCTCTCCTGCCTAGCCAAACTATCTTATCCATGCATTTCCATGCAAAGCTGGCTTTATTTGTTCCTATGTTTAGCAAAGCTGATTAATGTTTTTGGTTGCAGTCTTAATTTTCTCTTATCACGTTTGCCTCCTTGGATAGCAGGTCTGCTGCAGAGGCAAAGGGAGGAATTTATAGTCTAGGCCAGGGGTGGGGAACCTTGGCTCTTTTATGACTTGTGGACTTCAACTCCCAGAATTCTGGGAGTTGAAGTCCACGAGTCATAAAACAGCCAAGGTTGCCTACCCTTGGTCTAGGCAAAGGCAAGGCAAAGGGGGAGGGTTCTGGGGGGTGGAAGGTAGGAGAAATTGCTTTTCTTGAAAAGGGAGTTTTGGTCTTAAAACCAGGAAGTGCTTTCTTTGCACAAAAGATCTAATAAAAGGCTAAAGACAGACAACTTGACTCACTGGAGCTGAATCGGATTCTACTTATTTATTTAAAACATTTGCATAGCTGCTCATCTTATATTGAACTCTGGGTGGCACCCAATCAACAAGTATAACAATATATATTAGTAAGAAGAATGATATGTATTGACCAACTGATACTGTGTGTGATTATCGTTTATTTACTATTAACTAATAGTATTTATTTACTATTATATTAATTAGTGTTAACTGAACGTATGTACCCGGACAATAGTCTGTTTGCTAAAGCTTGAAAATGTTACTGGGGGGTAACGCCAATGTTGTTCCTAATCCTGTCCCAATCCCAATCCCGATCCTAACCCCACCCCAAACCTTAATCCCTATCCTGGTCTTATCCCTTCCCTAACCTTATAAAACTCAATAAAAATGTTTACATATAAAAAACCAAGTATAACAACGTCAATAACAAACAACAGGGTCCCAGAGTCCTCAGAGTGAAATTCAGGTGAAGCTCCATCCCTTGCTCCTTCCAGGCTTTATACAGTTAAATACTTACAAACAAACACAACAAAATATTATTAATGGCTTAATATTAACCATGTAACAAAAAGCCCTCTCTTCTAGTCTTTGCATGGACTCTATCACAGCCTTGTAAAGATGTAAGAATTCATCTCCTCACCTATAAGAAATGGTTTGTGTGGAATTCAGAAAAAAAAGGATATTCTATTGCTTATAAGGGGAGGGATTTCTATTAGAGAAATTCTTTTATTTCAGAAGGGAGTTTTGGTCTAAAAACCAGAAAGTAACTTCTTTGCACAAAAGCTTTATCAACAGGCCAAAGACACATGGCTCCAACTGGAGGTGAATCGGATTCTGTTTACTTATTCATTTATTTAAAACATTTATATAGCTGCCCATATGATATGGAACTCGGGGGGGAGGGGTCTCCCAAACAATGATTAAACCAACATCAATCCTAAAACAACACAAGACATTCATCTATTAAAACAGAGTGAACATTCAAAACCTGGTATGAAAGGTATGAAACTCAACGTTAAGAAAACCAAAATCATGGCATCCGGCCCTCTCAATTCCTGGCAAATAGAAGGGGAAGAAATGGAGGTAGTGACAGATTTTATTTTTCTGGGCTCAAAGATCACCTCAGATGGGGACTGCAGCCAAGAAATTAAAAGACTGTTGCTCCTGGGGAGGAAAGCTATGGCACATCTAGACAGCATACTAAAAAGCAGAGACATCACCCTGCCAACAAAAGTGCGTATAGTCAAGGCCGTGGTTTTCCCAGTTGCAATGTATGGCTGTGAAAGTTGGACCATAAGAAAGGCTGAGCGCCAAATAATTGAGGCCTTTGAACTATGGTGCTGGAGAAGACTCCTGCGAGTCCCCTGGACTACAAGGTGATCCAACCGGTCAGTCCTAGAGGAGATCAACCCCGACTGCTCTTTAGAAGGCCAGATCCTGAAGTTGAAACTCAACTACTTTGGCCACCTAATGAGAAGGAAGGACTCACTGGAGAGGGGCCTAATGCTGGGAAAGATGGAGGGCAAGAGAAGAAGGGGACGACAGAGAATGAGGTGGCTGGATGGAGTCACTGAAGCAGGAGGTGTGAACTTAAATGGACTCCAGAAAATGGTAGAGGACAGGAAGACCTGGAGGAACATTGTCCATGGGGTCGCGATGGGTCGGACATGACTTCGCAATTAACAACAACAACAACATGAAAGGGAAGCTTCTGCCTGTGCTCCCCTCCTGAACAGAATTAGAGTAGAACAGAATTATTTGAAGGAATTACACAAAATCTGGAGGAGCGACAGTACCCCACCTTTGCATGCTCAGAGATGCCCGTTTGGGAGATTGGCATCAGGAAAACGGGTGCAATTGTGCAAGGCCAATCCCAGCTCACGAGGCTCGCTCCCTTCACACCTACCACAACTGATCTGGGGAAGGAGAGCTGATGCAACTGGGAGCAGCCGGAGGAACAGCAGCTGCTGAGGAAAGGCAAAGACGATGGGATTATTCAGCTCTCTGCTCCAACCGGGCACATCACCAGAGTTTGCCCAGCCAGGTGCCCGTGGAGGGAGAGCGGGATGACCAGCAGGGCATGAACATCACCCCACTCACTATTCACAGATCCAGGGAAATGATCACAGCCCCTTTCTCTAGCGCCCACAGTGGGAGGGGAGTATTCAGCTTGGAAAGAGGGCCGAGGCATCCTATGGGTCAGGAGACCCTCCTAGTTGCTTCTGTCAGGTGGGCAGCGAAGAGACAGGTTCCAATCTGCACATTCCACAATTAGAAGGAGTCCACAATTAGAAGTGTGGCCTTACCAAGGCATTGAAGAGTGGTATTAACACTTCACGTGATCTTGATTCTATCCCTCTGTTAATGCAGCCGAGCCCTGTGTTGGCCTTTTTGGCAGCTGCAGCACATGGCTGGATCATATTTAAGGGATGGTCCACTATCCCTCTCACAGTTACTACTATTGAGCATGGTGCCACCTATGCTGTACTTGTGCACTTGGTTTTTCTTGCCTAAATGTAGAACCTTACTTTTTTCACCATTCAATTTCATTTTGTTAGATAGCGCCCAGTGTTCAAGTCTGTCCAGATCCTCCTGTGTCTTAAGCCTGTCTTCTGGAGTGTTGGCTATTCCTGCCAGCTTGGTGTTGTCTGCAAATTTGATGAGTTCCCCATCTATCCCCTCGTCCAAATCATTGATGAAGATGTTGAAGAGCATTGGGCCCAGGACAGAGCCCTGGGGCACCCCACTACACACTTCCCTCCATGTAGATGAGGTTCCATTGAGGACCACACGCTGAGTACGGCCGGTCAGCCAGCTACAAATCCATCTGGTGGTGGTGCGGTCTACCCCACATTTTTCTATCTTATCAAGTAGTACATGGTGGTCTACTTTGTCTGAAAGCATCATAGCATCAATGCATGGTCCTTCTAAAGAAACACCCTCCCCTTCCCCTTTAATGCCACGCAGAAGATTCAGGAGTTTCAGACCTCAACGGTCTCCAAAAAGAAACAAGGCCAGTCATGCTAGGCAGAATTTATTGGACCTTCTGGCCCATCAGGAGCAGCAAAACCAGATCCAGCTACAGAGAGCATCCGTTGAGCGAAGGGTGCAGAGCAGAGATTGCAGCAGGTGGAGAGTGGAGATGGGAGTGGGGGGTGGGGGGCTTCCTTGCTTCTCCAGAGTTCATCAGCTGCTTCCCTCACTCTGGAGCAAAAGAAGGAACCCTTTTCCCTAGAATTTGCACTGGCAGATGAACGGACGGAGGTCGTCACAGGATACATCGTTCCAGGTCTTATAATCTGGACAGCAAAAGAGAAAGCTTTGCAGTGACTCCCTCAGAGTCCCCGAAGAGTACAGCTAGTCCTTCGATTTACAACGGTTTGCTTAGTGACCGTTCAAAATTACAACAGCACTCAAAAGAGTGACTGATTACCGTTTTTCACACTTACGACCTTTGCAGCTTCCCCAGGGTCAGGTGATCAAAATTCAGATGCTTGGGAACCAACTCCTGTTTGTGACGGTTGCCCAGTGTCCTGGGGGGTCATGTGATTCCCCTCTTCTGTGACCTGCTGACAAGCAAAGTCAACGGGGACGCCAGACTCACTTAACAACCCTGCTACTAACTTAACAACTGCAATTGTGGTAAGAAAGGTCGCAAAATGGGGCAAGACTCACTTAACAAACGTATCACTTAAATTTCGGGGACTATTGTGTTTCAGTGGCTCCTCCCTGATTTGCAGGGGGGGACATGTAGATATCACAGGTGGAGAACCTCATGTCCTAAACAGAGGCACAGAATCAAAATCACATGAGGTATTAGTACTGCTTTATAAAACCATTCTATTCTGTTCTGTTCTGTTCTGTTCATTATTATTCTATTATTAATTCTATTCTATTCTATTCACTATTTTTTATTCTATTCTATTCCATTCCATTCTATTCTACTACTTCATTCTATTCTATTCTATTCTATTCTATTCTATTCTATTCTATTCCATTCTAATGTATATACAGTTTGAGTGTTTGAAGAAATCGTGGTTTTCATTTCTGTTTGTCCCAGAGACGTTTTTTGTTCCCTTCGTTCTAGGATGTTGGACTGTGAGAGCTTAGAATCCAAGGGATCACTAAAGATAATAAGTTGTCAAGTGGTGAGTGTTCCAAGATGGATCAAATGGGTCCTCATTGTTGGAAGCACACCCTCAGCTGCATCCCCACCATCTTGCCATACCTGACACGGTCAAGAGGATGACACAGAATTCAAGGTTCCCTACGGTGTTGGGCTCTCCTGGATGCCAGGACAGATAGTCGATGCAGGATCTGTCTGTCCACTCCCAGTTGCGTTGCTGGAAGGAAAGGGAAGCCACGTTAACCAATGGAGGAAGGGGATCTGGTTCTGCGGGGCCCAGATTGGAGTGGAACATTTCCAAGGGCAGAGCAAATATATCATCTCTTTCTCAATTAATCAGAAGAGAGCTGGAAGGAATGTTAGACCTCAGTCACTTGTCTGAGATGGTATAGGTTCTCCTGCTTGAGCAGGGGGCTGGACTAGAAGACCTCCAAGGTCCCTTCCAATTGTACTCTACTCTACTCTATTCTATTCTATTCTATTCTATTCCATATTTTCTATTCTATTCTATTCTATTCTATTATGTCTTTAGCCTGTTATTAGATTTTTTGTGTGCAAAGAAGATACTTCCTGGCATTTAGGTCTAAAATTCCTTCTGATATAAAGCAATTTATTAGAATAGAATTAGAATAGAATAGAGATGGAAGGGACCTTGGAGGTCTTCTAGTCCAGCCCCCTGCTCAAGCAGGAGATCCTATACCATTTCAGACAAATGGCTGTCCAGTCTCTTCTTAAAAACCTCCAGTGATGGAGCATTCACCGCTTCTGGAGGCAACTTCTGTTCCACTGATCAATTGTCCTTACTGTCAGGAAGTTTCTCTTTAATTCCAGGTTGCTTCTCTCCTTGATGAATTTCCATCCATTGTTTCTTGTCTTCTGCTGCTTTGGAGAATAAATTCATCCCCTCCTCTTTGTGGCAGCCCCTCAAATAGTGAAACACTACTATCCTGTCTACCCTACTCCTTTGGCACTTTAAAAACAGCAGTCAGTTCTTTAAGTGGGCAAGAAAGGTTGGTGAGGGGCAGGAGAGACAGCAGTGGAGCAAATAACATTTTTCAGAGGTTTTGTCCAAGTTGCAATGTATGGCTGTGAAAGTTGGACCACAAGAAAGGCTGAGCACCAACGAATAGGGGCCTTTGAACTCTGGTGCTGGAGAAGACTCCTGCGAGTCCCTTGGATGCAAGGCGTTCAAACCGGTCAGTCCTAGAGGAGATCAACCCCGACTGCTCTTTAGAAGGCCAGATCCTGAAGTTGAAACTCAAGGACTTTGGCCACCGAATGAGAAGGAAGGACTCACTGGAGAAGAGCCTAATGCTGGGAAAGATGGAGGGCAAGAGAAGAAGGGGACAACAGAGAATGAGGTGGATGGATGGAATCACTGAAGCAGGAGGTGTGAGCTTCAATGGACTCCAGAAGATGGTAGAGGATAGGAAGACCTGGAGGAACCTTGTCCTCCAAGGGTCGCGATGGGTCGGACATGACTTTGCAACTAACAACAACAACAATGGAATTGTGAACATTAGCAGCAGAAAAAGACCTACTTTCTTTGGATCATTCAGTCCAATCCAGACATGGTCTTTCTTTGTGATATAGTCAGAGACGTACTCAGCCAAGTCAGCTGACTCTGCCATGCTGTGGAGGGCGGCGAGGTGGCAGCCCGGCTTGTGTTTCCTGCAGAACATCTGGGAGGACAACAGAAAAAGACCCTCGTTCAGCCGAGAAGCAGACTGGTGTGAAAAAGAGCAGAGATCTGACTGGGTGGTCCTAGCCGCCATCTGGACGTTGTTGACCCCCGTGGGTGTCCCTGGCTAGAGTCTGCAGCTTTTGAACAGTTCCTTACATGTGGACCTGTGAATAAATTGTGAATGTATTCATTGGTCAAAATATCAGATCCCCGTCACTTCAGAGGCAAGGGGGGCAAAGATGCCAGCCAGGGTCAGGGGCAACACCTCAGGAAATCTAGAGCCCTGAGGCTCAACCTTCATACTGGCCTTGGAAGGCTCTATCTCCGTGAAAGCCCGTGTTTTTCACAGATACTTGCATTCCAGACGATCCTAAAATCATGATCTTTCTGACTTTTCACACATCTATCCAGGTCTCCCTTGGTGGGTTTTCAGCCCAGCCAGAGGGGACTGCGTGTGTGTGTGTGTGTGTGTGTGTGTGTGTGTGTGTGTGTGTGTGTCTCCAAGGCTCTCCCTAGACGTCTCCCCTGCCTGGGCTGGGAGATTCACAGGCCCACAAGCACGTCTGACCTCGGCGTCCTTCCAGTTCTTTTGTTCCTCAAAGACCTTGTAGCAAAGCCCATTCATGGGGAGCCAATCATGGGGACAACAGCAGCCTTTGGTTCCTGTGTGGGAAGAGAGGAAGCCCAGTGAGAAGAAGGCCAAGAGAAAAGGAGGAGGAAGAGGAAGAGGAGGGGAAGAGGAGGAGAAGGAGGAGGAGAAGGAAGAGGGGGAGGAGGAAGAGGAGGAGGAGGAAGAGGAGGAAGAGGAGGAGGGGGAGAGGAGGAGGAGGAGGAAGAGGGGGAGGAGAAAGAGGAGGAGGAGGAAGAGGAGGAGGAGAAGGAAGAGGAGGGGGAGAGGAAGAGGAGAAAGAGGAGGAGAAGGAGGAGAAAGAGGAGGAGAAGGAAGAGGAGGAGGGGGAGAGGAGGGGGAGAAGGGGGAAGAGGGGGAGGGCAGGGGAGGGGAAGGAGGAGGAGGGGTATGGAAATAGGAGGGGGAGGAGCAAGAGGAGGGGGGAGGGGAGGGGGAGAAGGGAGAGGAGAGGGAGGAGGGGAAGAGGGGAAGGTGGGGAAGAGGAGGAGGAGGGAGAGGGGGAGAAGGGGGAAGAGGGGAGGGGAGGGGAAGGAGGAGGAGGGGTATGGAAAGAGGAGGGGGAGGAGCAAGAGGAGGGGGAGAGGAGGGGGGAGGGGAGAAGGGAGAGGAGGGGGAGGGGGAGGAAGGGAAAGAGGGGAATGGGGGAGGAGGAGGGGGGAGGGGCAAGAGCTGGGTCTGGAGAACATTCTTAACCTGCTGAGTTAGAAACATCTTTCAGGAGAATACATCGCAACTGATCTGATTACAGACACAGCAGCTGCATTTGCAGAATGTCCCAAACCTGGTTACTCTTAGCCTTGATTAATTTCTTTGAAGCCACATGTCTCGTGTGAGCCTCTCCACTCCTCTTGGTGTATCATTCACTGAATGGTGCTAAGCCAGAAAATGGCTCCCTTTAAAAGCCGGACTGTTGATCGGTGCAAAACGTGGGGACCGCGTGGGTCAGTCCAAAAGGGTTTCCACTGCGTCCTGGATGTCCCATAAGTGGTTGAGGGCCTCAGGGGCTGATTATTTGTGAGATTGCCCCCCCTGTCTACCCACCGCCCAGGAGCAGCCCTCCTACAGATGCAGCTGCCAGACGCTCAGCTCTTAGGCCCCTTCTCCTCTGGGTCCCATAGAGAGCAATCCCTAGCAAGAGTCGGGGCCCTCTACTTTTAATTATGCAAGCATGCACGTTTTGCTAAGTATTTAACTTTTAATTGTGTTCCCGATTCTGAATTTCAGTTGCATTAATTTCGCTTTGTTATTGCATTGCTGCGAACAGCCTGGGACCTTGGAGCAGATAGTAAAAGAGGGATCTAAATTGCACAATAAGCCACACAGGAATAAAAGCAACTTTGGCCAGAGAATGCGGCGGGGGAGGGGGTGTCAAATCAGGAAGGGGTTCAGACGCAGAAGACCGGGTCTTTCTGGACAAGAGACAACCTGCTCGAACTCACCACTTAGGGAAAGGGCCACGACCAGCAACCCGAGACTCACGAAGGTGGAAGGCCCCATGGTCTTCCTTTCCTGCAGAGAGGAGCAAAGATGGGTGAATTGGGAGGGGGGATGAGAGCTGTTCAAGGTCCCCATCAGAAAGGGCAACCCCCTATTCAATCTGGAACCGAGCTGAGAGTCCCAAATTTCGTCTTGCAGGTTTGCAGATGGTCAGATGGACCCTGTTTCTCCCTTCTTAATCACGCAATAGCTTTGATGGGGGCGTAGTGGACTGCATTGCTGCATAATGGCTGGGGGGGGGGACAAAACCTCCTGAGAAAGTCTCTCACATGGGTCTTTCTCTCTCAAAGAAGAGGGGGGGTCAACCTACTCTCCAAAGCACCTGAAGGCAGGACAAGAAGATGGAAACTAATCAGGGAGAGAAGCAACCTGGAACTAAGGAGAAACTTCCCGACAGTGAGAACAATCAACCAGTGGAACAGAAGTTGCCTTCAGAAGTTGTGGGGGCTCCATCACTGGAAGTTTTCAAGAAGAGATGGGACAACCATTTGTCTGAAATAGCATAGGGTCTCCTGCTTGAGCAGGGGGTGGACTAGGAGACCTCCAAGGTCCCTCCACTCTGTTGTTCTGTATTCTGCTATTCTCTCCCAGAGATCCCCAACTGATCCCTTGCTCCCTGCCTGAGGACCCTCATGCAGATCTCCTGTGGAACCTGGATGTTGCCTGCAGCCCCCTGGAAGAGGTCCCTTCAGATGGAGAGAGGCGTGCACGAGTGATCTGATGCAAGGACCTCACCTGTCTTGTCCCCCACAGGTGGGAGAGCAGCACTCACCTGTCCTAGGAAGTCTCAGTCCAGCCCTGGGTCCTTGTCTGGAGAAGCCCAATAAAGTACCTTGAGGTGGAGATTGAAGCAGGATGACGTTACACTGTGCAGAAGGAGGACTTGTAGGGGCTGTCCTTGGCCAAGTCTTTCATATCCCCAAACCACAAAACCCACAAATTTGAACATCGGGGCTGCCCTCTTTTCCCATATATGGCTTATACTTTTATAGCAGTTAAAAATACAGAGATACGGGTGCATACTTTGGCCAAAAAACTTTCATAATGCAACTGTCATTTCAGCAGGTTGATACGTTCTACATTGTTAATTTAGTAATATTTCAGCAATATTTGCAAGGCTGTGGTTTGACTTCTTGCTGCACACTTTCTCTCCAAAGGACACTGGGAACTACACAAAGGGAGCCAAGCCTGTTGCCATGTCTTATTGTGAGGCTACCCTCCAGCTAAGTCAAGCTATCCTGCCCATCCACTCCCCTGCAACGTTATTTTATTTGAGGGGTCCCTGGTGCTCTCTGAACTTGGTAGTTTCCTTGCAGATGTTTCATGAGATATGTAGGTAACCTCATCAGTGCTAGAAGGGGTGGAATTTGTGGAGAGGAAGAAAATAGAACGGAACAGAACAGAACAGAACAGAACAGAATAGAATAGAATAGAAAATATGGAATAGAATAGAATAGAATAGAATAGAATAGAATAGAATAGAATAGAATAGAATAGAATAGAATAGAATAGAATAGAAAATATGGAATGGAATTAAATGGAATGGAATAGAATAGAATAGAAAATATGGAATGGAATTAAATGGAATGGAATAGAATAGAATAGAAAATATGGAATGGAATTAAATGGAATAGAATAGAATAGAATAGAATAGAATAGAATAGAATAGAATAGAATAGAATAGAATAGAATAGAATAGAATAGAATAGAAAATATGGAATGGAATTAAATAGAATAGAATAGAATAGAATAGAATAGAATAGAATAGAATAGAATAGAATAGAATAGAATAGAATAGAAAATATGGAATGGAATTAAATGGAATGGAATAGAATAGAATAGAAAATATGGAATGGAATAGAATAGAATAGAATAGAATAGAATAGAATAGAATAGAATAGAATAGAATAGGGAATAGAAGAATAGAATGGAATGGAATGGAATGGAATAGAATAGAATAGAACCTTGGAGGTCTTCTAGTCCAGCCCCCTGCTCAAGCAGGAGGTCCTATACCATCTCAGACAAGTAGCTGTCCAGTCTCTTCTTAAAAACCTCCAGTGATGGAGCGCCCACGATTTCTAAAGGCGAGGAGGAGGAGGAGGAGGAGGAGGACGACGACGACTATGGGGTCCTAAGTGCTCTCTGAGCTTGGTGGTTTCCTTGCAGATGTTTCATGACCCAAACTAAGTTACGTCATCAATGCTAATAAGGAATGGGGCTTGCTTTACATTTCTGGAGAGGGTGGCACTCCCCCAGACAGAGTTGGTGCACAACCTGGAGGTTCTCCTGGACTCACAACTCCAGTGAGCTGGTGGCAGTCACGGCTAGGAGAGCCTTTGCACAGCCTATCGGTTGTGCTCCAGTTTCGGCCCTTCCCTGTGCTCAATCACTTAAGCCCCAAACATCTCATGGCTGGACTGTTGCAAGATGGGGCAACCCTTGAAGAGCATTTGGAAGCCACAGGGGGTGACGGGGGTGTCTGGGGGGAGCTTTTTGGGTCTCTAAGAGTGGCCCATATGTGACATGGAGGTTTCCCAAGCTGCAGGTGTGCTTCCAGGTGCCATTCAGGGTGCTGACTATCACCTTTAAAGCCCTTCATTAGAAGCATAAACCACATAATCAGGCACTGAAAGGTGTGCCTTCACAAGAAGACAATGGCCCTTACTAGTTTAGCTGGGGAGGGAGGGAGGAAGGGAAGGAAGGAAGGATTTAAACATCTTGCATTTCATAAAATGCCCTAGAATTCATTTCTAGAACACCAGCTACAAACTGGTGGTGCCGGGCCGTCGTTCTGGCCAGGCGAAACAGTGAGAATCCCATGTGCAGCAACATCATTCTCTGGCTTTTTGGAGAGGCCAAAATATCTTCCTTTTTTCTTTGGAATCAGAAAGATCAGAGTGTATGTTATAAATCAATCAGTCAATCAATCAATCTGATTAACCTCCGGGGAGTCAGGTTGGAATCTGCTGGACCTCAGCAACACTTTCCTGTCCCCTAAACTGATTTAATTGGGTAGCTGGGATGACCTTTACTCCTTGGGTGACCCTGCAAGGAAGGTGGCAGGAAGGGAAGGAGAAGGATGGAGAGTGCAGTGTTGATGGCCAGCAACTAAGTCATTGATAGTTGCTTCCATGTACTGCTGGACCCTTGTCTCTTAAGTCGCTGATAAGCTGGTGGTAAACCAGCACTCCTGTTGACTGACAAGAGGCACATTTCCCAGGCTTCAATCATTTCCCTGGCTTTTTTTGTCCCTGCTCTACCAACAATCTTAGCAATTGAATTTGAGTCCTTGTTTGTTGCAATGTGAGGCTGCCAATGAGTTTGGGTCTCCTCCACTAACTGGCCAAAGTTTATATTCTCATCAGTACAATCCCATAGATTTGCAATGGGAAATGTTTTTCTTTTGGGTGTCTGGCATTTCCAAACTGCCACCCTCTCTTGATCTATGGGAGTTGTTTCCCTCCCTGTTTACTTGTTTTCTTGCACAGAAAGTAACCCGAGGGTCAGCAAGAATGGGTGTTGGGGGGGGGGGAAGAAAGGCAGGCAGTAACACAACAGGGATGACTGGTCTAGGGAGAGGAGGTGGGAGATTAGGGGTGGGCCACTCTGGGGAGGGGGCCTGGGGTTAGGTGCTAGTGCCCATTTCCGGTCCCTGCATCACTCCGACTGCCTGGTCATCAGAGCTTGGAGACCCCAGATTTCATCTCTGTCTGCTTAAAGTTTGGTGAGTCTGCAATAAAACTCCCTCATCCATGAGCTGAGAGAGCCATCTCCTATGGAAAGAAGGACTTGCTTCCTTGTTCCTTCTCCTCTTCCTCTTCCTTGTTTTCCTTCCAAGGGGAAGAAGACAACCTTTGGCTGGTGGCCCAGGGTGTCAATGCTTTATGGTGCTCTCTCGATCAGTTGTTAACACTGAACTTGCCAACAACCAGCTAAACTGCTGCTCTGGGAATTTTGGAGTTCCCTGTTCAGATCCCTGAGATCCTGTAGAAGTGGCACTTTAGTTGCCTCTATCCGCTCTAGGGAAGGAAGGAAGAAGTGTGGAGACCTTGTGCGGTGGATTGTGGTGGAACGTAGTCCAAAGTCACAACAGGGAGGGTTTCTATTCCAGAGGCAAAGAGAAAGTGGAGCTTGGAATATATGATAGGCAGGAAGAGAGCAAGTCTCTAGCAGTTCACAGAATAAGTCTATACTTACTGGAGATATTTGAGGCTGGCAAGATTCTGTCTGCAGGCAAACAACAATGACAACAACAAATATTCAGAGGCATTTCCATGTGTCGTTCTCGATGACCATCTCAGAATTTACCCATGTAAAAAAAGATCTGTGCATTTTGGGAACGTGGACAGTCAGAGAGAAGCAATGTGTTGGGTCATGGAGCATGGAGCATGGAGAGTAATCCTTGGCTTAAGAGTGGATGGAGGTCTCAGGCCGTCTCTCTGGGCAGATGAAACATTGAGAATTTCATGTGCAGCAACATCTTTCTCTGGCTTCTCGGAGAGGCCAAAACAGTCTCCTTCTTTGTACGAAGTCAGAAAGTTATAAATCAATCAATCAATCTGATTAACCTCCAGGGGAATCATGTTGCGTGCCCTTATTGTGTTCCAAATCTAATGGCCGCAATTAAGCTTCTTCCAGGCTGTTAATCAGGACCAGAAATCCCGAAGCGAAGCAATCTCTCCCTCCCTCTGTCCTCCCCCCTTTCCTTGCCTATAAATGCCTCCCTTCCCCTTGCAGGAGGAAAGCCTGGAGTTGCCTCTGAGCAGACTGGCATTCCCAGGAGGCCGAGGGACAGGTGAGTGGGCTCTCCCACCTGTGGGCACCTGACAGGTGAGGCCCCTGTGCTAGATCTCTCCTGCCCGCCTGTCTCTCCACCTGAGGGGACCTCCCTCAGGGGGCTGCAGGCGATGTCTGGGTAGCAGCAGGGGATCTGCAGGAGGGTCCCCCAGGCAGGGAGCGAAGGATCGATTGGGGATCTCTGGGGGGGGGGAAGAGACCTATGGGAAAATCTCTCTCCGGGAAGACCCCCCACCAGCCATTACACAGCAGTGCAGGATCTGCCCTGACCCCCCAAGGAAGCGGTTGCGTGGCCAAGGAAGAGGAAACGGGGTCCAGCTTGGCAAAGGCAAAACTGTGAAACAAACTCTGGGACTCTCTGCTTGATGCTGGGATGGATGTGGGGTCCCCTCCCTGAGGTGGCTTCCCCATGCGTCCCTTCTCCCCTCTCGGCTCCTCTCTGCAGGGAAGGAAGGAAGACCATGGGGCGACTCGCCTTTCTGAGCTTCGGCTTGCTGGTCGTGGGCGTCTCCCTAAGAGGTGAGTCCCAGCTGGGGTCTCCCCTGTTTGGAAAGAGCATGTCTCTCGCATCTGGAAGCTTTTAAGGAGAGACGGGACAGCCCTTTGTCTGAAATAGTATAGGGTTTCCTGCCTGAGCAGGGGGTTGGACTCGATGACCTCCAAGGTCCCTTCCAACTCTATTATTATTATTATTATTATTATTATTATTATTATTATTATTGATCATCGCACAGTCAGCCAGATGTTCAGACTGGATTTGGCCTTTTGTCTACCTATCGAGTCCTTACCCAGGACCTGGGATAGGCAGATGTGGATGTTTCATGGTATTACAGATATCGTCGCAGGATGGAAGCAGTTCCTAGTAAGGCCGCCTTTTGCAATTGACTAATAGGGAATTTGTCAATGCCAATGGTGTTCAAGTGGTGCTCCAGTTGTTTTGGGATTGCACCCAAGGCGCCTATGACTATTGGTACTACCCTTGCTTGCTTTTGCCACAGTCTTTCTATTTCTATTTGTAGGTCTTTGTATTTTGTTATCTTCTCCAGTTCTTTCTCGTCTATTCTGCTGTCTCCAGGCACTGCCACGTCCACTATCCAGACTTTTTTTGTCTTTCTTATTGACAATTGTTAAGTCTGGGGTGTTATGTTGCAGGTGCTTATTATTGTTGTTGTTGTTGTTGTTGTTGTTGTTGTTGTTGTTGTTGTTATATTATTATTATTATTATTATTATTATTATTATTATTATTATTATTATTATTATTATTATCTGAACCCCTTCCTGATTACACGCAAACACACACGCACACACACACACACACACACACACACACACACACACAGTGTCCTCTTGCTGATGTTGCTTTTATTCCCATTTGGCTTATACTGCAATAAGATTCCACAATCTGTCTCTGCTCCAAGACCCAGGGCTGTTTGCAACAAGGCAAAAACAAAGGACAATTAATAACATTGAAATGCAGGTTCAATTAAAAGTTAGAACCTTGGCCAAAAAAAGAAGCTAAAGATGTTCTGCAGACCCAGCTGTCTCCTCCTCCTCCTCCTCCTCCTGCTCTTCTCATTGGGTTTCCTCTCTTCCCACACAGGAGCCAAAGGCTGGTGTCCCCGTGATTGGCTTCACAGGAAAGTGTTTTGCTACAAGCTGTTCAATATGTTGAAGACCTGGAACGATGCAGAGGTGAGAAGTGCTTGTGTGCCTGTGAATCTCCCAGCCCAGGCAGGCGCAAAGTCTAGGGAGAGCCTTGCAGAGCCTCCCCCCCCCCCGAGTCCCCTCTGGCTAGGCTGCGGTGGAGAACTCCCGGCTGTGTGGAGGGAAAGGTAGTAAAGACCATGGTTTTAGGACAGTCTGAAATGCGAGTATTCCCTAGACTATACACCGGTGTGGGCTTTCGTGGCCCGTATCTGTTGGGCAGCGCTGAGCTTCAGGGTTGGGGGACCATCTTGCAGACCACAGACTTCCTGATGTCTCACTGGGAACATGGGTGGCATCTTCAAGTCAACTTGACTCTGAAGTGATGGGCAGCTCAGATGTTAAGCAAGTGTAGTGTAACCCCCTCAGAGGCCGCCAAGGCCCAGAGCCTGCTAGCTCTCCCCCCTTCAGTCATGCTCAGCAGCCACGCTCTCAAGGCGTTGATAGCGTGTCCTTGTTAGCGGGAACTCACACGGAGCGAAGGGGTGGCAGGTTCGCGTCGTCAAGGGGTTTACAGGAACAAAGATGACCAACCCCTAGCCACGGCAGTCAGGTGTCTGAGCTTCCCTCTCTCCGGCCAGGCTCCCACAAGGCCTTTCGGCCAGCCCCGCTCCACAAGGAATCAGGAACTGCCCAAGAGCTTCAGACACCAACAAAGACACCTACAGCCAAGTCAATTTGGTGGCTAGTAGTCAGATTCCTGCCTCTTCACCTGCTCCCTCCTTCCCTCAATCACTCCCTCACTTTCTCTCTCACTCACTCACTCACACACACACACACACACACACACACACACACACACACACGTTTCTTCTCTGCCGAAGAAGTGACTTCCTCTGTTGTCGCTCCCTCCCAGATATTCTGCAGGAAACACAAACCTGGTTGCCACCTCGCCTCCATCCATAGCACTGAAGAGTTAATTGACGTGGCCGAGTACGTCTCCGACTATAGAGAAAAGAAAGAGAATGTCTGGATCGGACTGAATGACCCTCAGAAAGTAGGTCCCTGTCTATTATGACGAAGGTGCATCATTTCATTTTTCCTCTCTCTACGGGGCTACTTGAAGGATCCTCAACGGGGTGTTAGGGGTCTCTGCTGAAAGGATCCCTTGCCTTGGATGAAACCATAGAGAAATGTTTCCTACTCTGGATCTCTCTCTCTTCTCTCTTCTCTCTTCTCTCTCTCTCTCTTCTCTCTTCCTCTCTCTCTCTTCTCTCTCTCTCTCTCCCTCTCTCTCTCTCTTCTCTCTCTCTCCCTCTCTCTCCCTCTCTCTCTCTCTCTCTCTCCTCTCTCTCTCTTCTCTCTCTCTCTCTCCGTCTCTCTCTCTCTTCT